TTTGGAAAAAGATAAAAATCATCTTTCAATTTCATTTTATGTGATAATTACAAGAGAAACTTTTATATTTTTATTGATTGTAATAAAACAAAATGAATATTTTTTTAATAATTGATAAAAACATTTTCCAAATTAGGATGTCGCAAAATTTAAAATGCTTTAAAATGCTGAAATTCTTGAGTTTTGGTCTGCGCCAATCTTTTTCCAAATCAAAAATTCTTCTTATGAATGTCTGCAGATATCTATAATTTTATTTCACTTTCCTTACCGTTTGTTTTAGGTAAAATTAAAATGTGTGGAGAACCATACTGCAAGTCCATCTAGTGTATCATTATTTTTATTGGAACCAAAAACATGTGAATACGTTCTGGGAGTCGAATCACCGTTAATCTGTGATATCTTAGAATATGCCGACGAAAATGGACTTCTGAACGACAAGTTCGAAGCGAATTTCGATAAATTGAAATCTATGGCCTTGCACGCAGAACAAGACAATTTAGACGAACGAATAGCTAACGGAGATGATTAAAATAATTGATTTGTCTTCTTAATGTCGGTTAAAAACCATCAAAGCATTATTGTTTAAATATCATAATTCTAAAAATGTTCATTGTTTATTGAGTATAAAAAGAATTACATTCTATAAAACAAATGAGTGAAATTGAAATTAGTTAACTATATTACATATAATTGTGTTTGATATTATTATAAAAAAAAACTTACATTCCAAACGATCTAACAATATAAATATTTAATAGGTTCCGTGTGTAAATATTCTCTCGTTTGTAAAAGTGCATATCAAAATCGTATTCCAGTACATGCGAGGCTTATATGTCAATATCTAAACAAATTTTTGGAAAATGATTTTTTTTTTAGCTGAATCAGACATATACATGAAACTTTCGGCTTATCTCTTTTCTATCCGGATGATATTAGGATACATGAAATAAAAGCTTCTAAGATTCTACGAAGAAGGCAGCGTTTTGAATGTCCAAAATTTTCAGTATGTAGTATTGTTCTGTTTATTCCTGGTCAGGGATTAAGGGATGTCTTTAACCGATGTTCAGGCCGACACCGACGCGGAACTGCTGCTTCTTGTGATTCAGAAAGCCGCTTATGATTAACGAGGCCTCCTGGATTGGGTGCAGCCTCTTCTCGAACACGGCACCCATGCTGGTCTCCGAATTGACGAATCCCCGGCAAATAAAGTTCGCGTATGGAATGTCTAAGCGGTACATAATTGTTCCTATAGACTCGTGTATCCGTGTGTTTGTCTCGATCTCAACTCCGAGCTGTAACTGCTGGCTCGCTTTCCGATGGTAACAAATATGGATACCAGCCTCGCCGAACGTGGCAGATAATGTGGTGGGACCGGTACTGTGCCGGAATGCGGCACACATCACTGTCTGCTGACCGCCGGGTATCAGAGAACCACGTAAACACGCGACTTCTGTGCCGAGAGTGATCCTCGGCGTAATTGCCTGCAAGTAGTGCAACACCAGGGTGCCGTGCAGCTTCATGAGATCTGGATTCGCCAGGGTGAGCGCCAATGTACAGTCATCCGAGCGGTACTCCAGTCCGGAACTGAACGCCTTGTATCTCTTGTCAAGGATTTGTGTAGCGAGCTTGAATCTATATCTGCAGCCGAGCGTGTGCACAAAGCTGGCGCTCATGTTACCACTGGGCGTAATCTCACCTGAAATCACCGGGTACTTCTCCGTAAGTCCTACCCGCTTGGTACCAACATAATTCACACCGACTATGAGGCCATACGGTGTCACAGAACTCAGGGTAATCTTATAAGTCACGTTGAAGTGTTTGCTCAGAGTTTTCTTCAACAATAGATATGCGCCCTCGAAGTTCTGCGGATAGAGCTCCTTAGTTTTTGCATGAAGATCCTCGAAGCTGCTGGGGTTACCAGGCTTCCTGTCCACCTCCTCCAAACAGGGAACGCATGGTAGTTCTTTCTGGGTGACTGGGGTCATGAAGAGCTCGCGTTTGTTGATAAGTGCTTGGACGATACCCATTATGACAGGGATGTTGTTTTCCGATGAATAACCAATTTATTTTAATATTAATCTACTACCAATTTTTTAATATGCGCGAATTCGATACGTATCAATCTTCATTCTATGTTTGGTCTTCAGTATCGATATTTCATTAATAAAAATTGATTGGAGATTCAAGTATTTTAACGATGAATGATTTTTTTGGTGCAAAATTATACATTTCTTGAGAATCAGCGTTACGTGCCTATTCTATAGATTAAAAATATTAAAATATTTCCCCATAAATATAGGATCTTCAAAAATTTTAGAATACAGTTCTTCAGAATTCTAATAAATAAAGAAAATGTATTATATATACACGTACAATCTACATAATATATCTTATACATTTTTAAAATATCCTTTTTAGTGATTTTTTTAGTTAAAAAAAAAATAAAATAGAAATCTATTAATGTAATGGAAATTTTTAAACGAACGAAGTTTTTAACATTTACAGTAATTTTATAGTTAATTTTTCTTGAGATATTTTTTTCTTCGATTAAACAAAATGATTTTTTTTTCAACTTCGCCAGATAGATTTGCCAGACAGATTTGTAAATCTTTGTTCCTTCGTAATTTTATCTTATATTTTATTTACATTAAAAACAAGAAAAAATAAGTGTGGTGATCGTAGCTTAGAGCGTCGCGTAACTGCTCTGTGTACCAAAGATCTGATCAAATTCACCCAGCACTCAAAACACATATCAAAAATGTAAAATTTAAATATTAATTGGGCTCTCAGACTTAAAAACTATAAATAAAATTTACATATTATAAAGATGTGCAATGATTGACGAACATCAACCTTATTTATATTTGCAAAATTTGTACGGCAAATACAAATTTTACAAATACAAATAAGGTTGTAC